TCCACTGCACTACCATCATCTATCCACCTGACTGTGTCTTCATGACAGGCTATCAGGTTGGTCAAACATGACTCCCCCTTGGTGAAGCCATGCTGACTGTTCCTAATGACACTCTTATCCTCGATATGCCTACAGACAGCACCAAGGATAAGTGGTTCCATCACCTTTCCAGGGATGGAGATGAGGCTGACCTGTCTGCAGTTACTTGAGTCCTCCTTCTTGCCCTTTTTGAAGACTGGAGTGACATTTGCTTTCCTCCAGCCCTCAGGCACCTCTCCTGTTCCCCACAACTTACCAAAGATGATGGAGAGTGGTCTACATGCCTATTGCTCTAAACAAACAGAAGTGTTGAAACCACCACCAGGAAAATCGCAGGATAAATCTAGAGAACACTTCTTAAAGAAACTGGAGCCAACTGTTGGCTTAAAACATCCCATTTACCATATGCTGCAAACTTTCATCTTATCATATCAAACATTTCTAAACGATTAGAAATGCACCAGTTCCTGTAAAAGGCACTAGTGAAGAGAAGGACATTGTTAACAGCTATCAAGAGACACAAACATTCACAGAGATACTCTAAATGCAATGTACAGAAATGGCTCTTCCCAGATACAAGAAAAGGGTACGTGTGGAGTCACTGACAGTCGCCTGCTTCATGCTCAGTGGTAGTCAAAAACCCAAGAAAAATCTCAAACGTCAACAGGAAGGGTATTGAAAGGTAACAGAAAACATCCTTTTGCTGGTTTGTAAGAGTCCTGCATGCCCATAGCTTGAGTACTTTGGGCAATTCTTGTGTCTGCATCTAAATAAGGATATACTAGAGATGGAATAAGTAAAGGCAACTGAAACGATGAAGGGGATGGGGCAGCTCCCTTGTGAGGAGCAACTAAAAAGGCTCTTTGATCTGCAGACAGGAGGCTGATGGATATTATGCATGAGATTTACAAAATCACAAAGGCAGCGGATAAGATGAATACAGAAATCCCCAAGCCACAGCAATAGCGGGTATTGACTGAAATCACACTCTTGTTTGTACCTGTTTTCAACCAAAGTACCTTTTTTCATGCAGCAGGCAGCGCACTTCTGAAATTTGCTTCTTTGTGAAAGCAGGTATTATCACCAGGTTCAGAAGGGATTAGACAAAGTCATTGATAAGAGAACCACAGATAAGAAACTAATTAGACAGAACACACCTCCCAACATCCCTAATACAATGACTGTGGATACCGAGGAAGTAGAAAAGTTGCAGAGTGGCCAGACTTATTCCCAATATTACCTGTTTGTGATGATCTGAGACAGAAAAGCAAGGTACATAATCCAGCAGCCTGACCCAATGGGGCATGCCTCTTACCATGTAAGAAAGGTGTGTTGTAAAACAATTCCCTTTTTATTGAAACTATCTGTCCATTGTAACAACCACTGCCATTGGTCTTGAAGGAAGCAGAACCACACCAGGCCTCAAGCAAGGACAGTTACAAGTGGCGAACAAACTAGGGTCTCGCATAAGCCTAGGAGAACGGCATGATACATACATGGGGATCATCTTCTGAAACCAAGAAGGGCTAGAGGTTCAGTAGGCCCAGTAAAAGTGACACCTCATGTTTCTTATTTATCATCAGGTCCATGAAATTGCAGTCCCTTGGGCTGATTTTATCTCCTTTCATGTCTGCAGAGAGCACACCACGTGGTGGGCACTCACACAATCCTTTTTCAAAACAATTCCGCTGACTGAACATATTTCCATTTTTTCTTCTATTCTTGGTTTTCTTTTATTACAATAGGAGAAGAAAAACAAGAATGCTATTGCTTCAGGGAATTCATGAATTCTTATTTCTTTTTTCCTCACCAGAGGTCACAATCATCTCCACAGCAACAAACTGTGATGTCTCAAGAAGGATTGATTTTTGTTTATTTATATGCCCTCCCACACACGGCTGAATAGGTTACAGACCAATCCCTTTCCCCTTTCCATTTAGTTCTCACCAATTCAACCAGGATGATTTTAACAAGGCTCCGTTCCCTATCTGTTCTACAGAGACAATCCACAAAAAATAATTTCAAATTCAACGCTTCCTTGGGGGTTAACTTTGTTGATAAAGAAAACAACATTAAAGCACTAGAGATGAGCATAACCCTTCCCTGTAGTCTTGGCTTTCTAAAGTCCTCTATCAGAATTACTCAGCTCAGAAAAATGGACTTAATGCTTTACTAACAAAACTAGCTAAAAAGACAGTGCTGTTTTGGGTAAACACTACTTGCTTCTATAATGAGGCAAATACAACACGGAATGCCAAATCATTATAGTATACCTGCAAGATATAAATAGATTGTTTGTGGTAATTCTTGCATTTAGGATTATAAGAACTAACTCCTTTTAGGAATTATGCAAAACTCTTAATGAAACTCTATTTATACTTCAATGGAAAAGTAAAAATATTTTCCTTTTTTAGGTGCCTTTCATTACAGTTTCATAGCTGGAAACAAGACTTTTCTTGGAATCTGTTGATGCTCGACAAAACAGTGCCTAGAACACTGAAAGACATCATATTTTAGCACAAGCAACAGGAATTTATTTTTTGTTTCATTACACAAGGAACAAATCAAAAATATGGAAAGTAACCAAAATTCATTTTTATTAGTGCTTGTATTTTATATGGGTTTGTTAGTTACTGTTTTGCTAGCTAAATGACAGATCTGATAAAATAATACTAAATATCAAAATAAATGTTGAAGATAGAAGTCAACACTGGTGACTGACAGGCCTGTGCCAGAAATCCATTGTGTAGGAACATATTAACAGCCTCCTCTGAAGAAACACAAACCAGTCTGATCAGGTCTGGGAGCCCAGGTCAAAACTGTCAGAGGTCTTTGAACACCAAGTTTCAAGACACTAAAAAACCCTTTTAAAATTAATGAAAAAGTAATTTGGATTCTGAAGCCTCAGTTTAGTGACTGGAGCATTTGTACAGGGAACAAAAGCAACTGCAGGTCTACAGCAGCCCCCAGAGCTTAGAAGAAATGCCCTTGTTAATTACTCACTTTAGCTGGCAAGGAGAGATTCAGTTAGGTAAGACAATGTATTTTTAGACTTTGGTTAATTTTTAACCCTGATCTTTCTGCTTGTGATAATTCTATGGATGGATAAACACATTTCAGATCTACCAGTTTTCTTCTGATGTTGCCTTTACTACCAGTCCAGTTTCTGAACCTGATTCTGAAGGATGGCCTAAAAACTGCTGGGGGCTTCAGCGGAAGTAATGTGACAAATAAATCAGCTATTCAGTCAGAAGCACAATGAATTAAGGGATTCTGGTCAAAGAAACATAAGCAAAAGAACTGTCATTTCCCAGGCAACCTCACAGAGAAACGGATCAAGATCCTAAATAATGCTCACACCTGAACCATGAGACAGTTGCCCTCCAAATTAAAGTAAGTTCAACATGCACACATGCAAAAACTAAGCCAATCACACACAACTAACGTTACAAAGCTGAGACTTAGAGAATTTTGTTTTAAAGATGCTTGATACTTTTGTAGTTTCCTTCAGGCCAAGGAAGAGCACATAACCAATATTCAGTGTTATTTGTCCTTTAAGAGTCATCACTCTCTACTCTTGATAAATTAACTCACTACAATTTCACCTAAGAAAAACTGATTTGACACTTAGTGTACCACATTTTCTAGAAATACATTACTTTTCCTGCCAATATGACTCTGATACAACACATGCTGACAGGAACAAGAGCTGCAAGGTTAAGACAAGCTTGATAATCACAATACAGCATCTTACCTCATTGAAATCTCCAATCCTTGGAATGTGATTTTTCCTACTTTTGCCAAGGACAGCTCCAGAATTAGAAATGACCACTGCAGCATTCCACAGAGTTCCCCCATGTATTTCATCTCGCTCCAGGATTGGAGATACCACAACCATATTGTATTTCTTTGCCAGCTATACAAATGAACACAATTCTTCTATTATACAGAAGCCTGCAGTAATTATTTTCACTTTTTGTTAATAAGGATTTTAAAAAGTTTTCACGGTACATTACTCTGACTGTTATCAGGGGCTAAGGCTTAAGCCACACTGGCATGCCTACATCACCGCAGTTTCTTCATCAAAGATGGATACATCACAGAGAGCTTTTCACCTGAATCCTTCAACTAGGAATGCAAGGTACCAACAGGAAAAAGTATCCTAACAGCAATGGTCAAACTATGAAGCCAACTTCTATCTATTCACAAGTACAAGAGGAGATAGATCCCATCCCATTCTTCCATTCTGGTATACCATGTAAGTGGTGTAGCAGACTAAAAGACACCACAGCTAGCTGAAACCCGCTATTTAAAAAAAATTTAAGAAGGAAATGTAAACTAGTGTTACATGTTTACAATAAATGTTAAATAACATAGGTGCAAGCGAGAAATAGAGCAGCTTCTGACTGCCAGTTTACTAGCACATTGTCTTTTCCGTCAAATCACTGCTCTTTCTTTTATTTCTCCAAACGTCCATAGTGTCACTAATTCCACAGTGAGAAGGAACACGTACTTGTCCTAGATCAGACTAACAATATTTTGCTGACTACAAAAGCTTACATCAGTGCACATCTGGGCAAATTTGAGAACAAAACAGTCTTTTGTTGTTTTAATCACTTGTAAAAGAAAATCATTTGAATTCCTTATTAAAAAAAAGTTGTCAGAAAACAAAAATAACTTCTGCCACCCTTGCAATCAACAGGCTCTGGAAAAATAAGAGCCAGACAATAACAAATCTCCTCGGGTCCATAAGAAGCCCCCTACATTTTGTATCATTTCACAGTGAGATGCAAAAGATTTGTGTGAAAGTGTTTCTCATTCAGAAAAGGCTGGCAATTCTTCTTCTCACACCTTCACACAAGCATTGTTTAATGCTCAACTGTTCTAGGCAAGAAACACCTTAAATAGAAATTAAAAATATTTGTATGAAGAATCGTTCCTCCCTTGGAAAATTCAGGAATAGTTAAACGGGCAGTTTCATATGCCTTCCATGGTAAAAGGTACTCTACAAATGCAAAGTAGTTTAAAAAATAAATACTGAGTACAGTTGTTGTTGTCCCTTCCTACTTCACTCACTATCATAATATTTGCCAAGCAAGTTGAAAATTTATTTATTATTTCAGTGTTCTCAGTGGTACAAGACTGGTACATAAAGAAATCCATGCTAGTCAGTGGCAGTTAGGGGCTGGGGTTGGAGGCTGGATGTGGGGTTTTCTTTGCTTGGTCATTTTTTTTTACCTCTTGACAAAATTTTGTTGTTGGCCCATCCTCTGCAGACTCAGCAAATTCAGTCCAAGGAAGCTTTTCTCTTGTACAAAAAGCAAAGGGCATGGCTGGAAAACACCAATGCAAGACAAAATTGACAGGAATGCTCATGTCACTCAAGAAATACATTCTGTTTCATGAATACAGATAAAAAAATTAAACACTTAAGAATTATTCAATTGTTTTCCTTGTTTACAGGCAAAAGCTATTTAAAAATATTTTTAGCATGGGCAAGGAGTTTTGGGTCCACACAGAGCAAGGCAGAAGAGAAAGAATGCACTTAGTGAAGTCTTACTGGAGGTAAAAACACAAAATACAACCAAGTCACTAGTGTACACTTTCTGTGAATAACCTATTTTCACAAACATTTCACCAGCCTTCATTTTGGTTTTTGCCTCTATTGAGCCTCAAAGACTCCATTTTAAGTAAAATTAGGTTTTTTTAGTTTTAATATTTGTCTAGAAGAAACCCAAAGGTTTAAGAGAAAAAAAATGAGGAAAGGATCATGAAGGATACCACGAAAGAGCACACCTACAAATATCACTGTTGCAGCATACACTAGTCTTCAATATAACAGACTTCACATACATCTTCCATACAGATCTGCTAACTAAGACACTGTTGTTTCCTTTAGAAAGCAAATGAGTAAAGTCAAGTGTTGTATCTTGGAAGATCTCTGCTGTTTACTTATAAGACATACTTCTAGTACAGGTTACTTGTTAAAATAGAAGGAACTTGACCTCTGACAATCTAGAAGGAATCACAGAAAATACTCACTCCAAGCCTCCTGAAAACAAACTATGTTGACCCCACACACTGCAGCTACTTCCACGATCTCCTCAATCCGTCTGTGCAGCGCGGCCACCTGATTGTGAGAATTATCACACTATAAAACAAGCTGTATGTTCTAACGCACTTGTATAATCATAGCCTGGTTTTACAAGCTCTGTCCCCATTAAATTTATCTTGTTCTATAAGTAGGCCCATTGCTTTCAGAGGGAATAACTGGAGAAGTTATCATTCCTGAGCACTGATAACAGAAAGAGTTAGATACAGATTTTTAAAAGCACTTAGATGCTGAAAACAGAGAAAGCAATCCAATGGAATACTAACTCCATGGTTACAACATTTAAACATATGGCAACTCATTGCTGACTGAGTGGCAAACAGCTAAAGATCTTAAAAAAAACAGCAAAAATTTTAGTTTTGCTGCTAATTATAAACAACCTACAGAGCAATGTTTCTCTGGATTCAAAAAATCCAATTCAAAACACGGATTCAAAGTCAAGTACTCAGAATCTTCGCATATGAGGTAAGGACAGTCCTTTTCCCTGGTCATCTCTGAATCCTGCTCACATGTGTGGATCTTGGACACTCTATAAGTTATTAACTCCAAACTATTTTCTAAATCCTTCTGTCCAAAGAGCTCAGTAGATTATTACCAAGAGAAAAAAAAACCTAATCATTTATTCATTAGTCAAAAAAGTCGTTTCAAAGTACTTTTTTCTTGAGTAGTCTACTTAAAGATAAGCATAGGTGTAGCACCTTGCATTGATACTTTCAGGTGTCAATTAAAAAAAAAAAAAAAGGACGCAAGACAAGTCAACAGTGACCTATGAATTCAACTGTACACTGACTTACAGAAATAGTTAACTAGTTATTTATAAGGTAAAACCATTAGTATAACTGTTAGTCTTTTTAACTGATGCTACAAAGAATCCACATGCTTCATACATATACTGAATTAATTAATCAGATAATCTTTCCAAAACAAATTACCTCAGAAATGTTCTGCTCTCTCACCGTACAAAACTACTATTCCAGGAGATTTTATAAATGTGGCTTTTTTTTTACACTTTTTTAAAGCAACTTTTACGAGTCTATGTCTATATATGTTACCTTAGAACTTTTGTGTCCAAGGTGTTAGGAGATGACAGTCACCTTGTAATAAGATTTGGTTTAGTGCTGTTCAAAGAATAATGAACACAGCTCTATTAATCTGTATTTACTCTAATGGATTTTCCTATAATGGAACATTTCTCAATTAAAACAAGAACTGCACCTGTGGGATACTTCAGGTAAATAATATTCTGTTTCATTTTAGAGGCAAAGAATTTTTATGCACAAAATCAGTCACTAAATATTTAGCTTTGGGAAAACTGCAAACAAGTTGGGCAATTCACTAGGCAAACACAACACATGAGATGTTTCTGAGAAACAACAAAAACGGATGCGTCATTCCAATTTCTTACAGTGTGCTGTATTAAGATAATGATGGGTCCTACATTACCAATGAGCAGACATTTCATGATGGAGTTTCTAATATCAACAACTGAAGCGTGTTATTTCTCAATCCAGCAGAAAAGGAGTTACACGCAAATACCCCAGATCCAAGTTTGTATACCTGGACTGCCACGGCTGTGTCTGTGGGAAGTGGAATTTTATTTTGTATCAGTCCTACTCGAACAATACGTGGCCTTCTCAACTGCTCTGGATCAGCTTCAAATCCATAGCCCTGTAGCTCAAAATCTCTTTCCTGAGCTGCTGACAGAGCAGCAGATGGCAAATTAAGTTTTCTGGATAGAAGAGGAAACATAGACATTTTAAGATGTGATCTTCTCCTTTTCTGCTCTGAAGGCATCGGATCAAAAGGCCGACAAAAATTCTGTCTACCCTTGCAGAGGCACCCAAGCTCCCATGTCCCCATACACAACTATGAGACAAGGGAACAGTCACACAGTAGCCAGGTCCTGTGCAAATCTCGCTGCTCTCCTCCATGGCAGCAAACTCCCAGTGCCTTCCTCTCTAATTGTGATTTCCAGACACTATTACCTGGCTACAGAAATTGAGAAGCACATACGTGCAAACTTCCATCTGTCACCCCCACAGTAAATTAAACATTTTCCCTCACGTTAGATCCCCACTCTTCCAGCTCCCTCACTGCGAAGCCACGACGGCCCCAGCCCCCCCTCAAAACTATCCCCCCTCAGGCCTTTCATTCCAGTCAGCCACCTTCTTACACGACCTCTCCACCGCCCTGCTTCCCAAACTTGGATCACCTCTAGACTACCCCCGCTACCTCACCACAGCCTAACCTCACCACAGTACCACAAGCACCACAGGACCTACCCTTCTCTTTCCTTTCAACCCAGCCCTGTGTCCTGAGGCGCGCCCGTCCTCAAACTGTCTCCTTCCCCCTCACCCTCGGGCTGGGCATCCATCGCGGAGACCGAGGGGGAGGAGGGAGACGGGACGGGACACGATTACCCCCCCGCAGGGGAGAGGGAGGCCAGCCCGTCCTGGCAGCGCACCTTGCCTCGCCCCCATAGAGGATCCGCTTCACCTCAGCGAGGTGCTCGGGCGGGATGTGCTGCTCCA